CCCGCGGCCCCGCTGCTGGCGCGGGCAGGGAGCTGCCGGCCTTGCCCGTGCCCCGCTCTTTGCATTGCAAACCAGCTCCTCGGCAACTTCCGAGCAGGACCGATATTCACAATATTGCATTTTTATCTTGCTCATCTCACCTATTTGGGGAGAACGAGTTTAATTCTAGTAGTAACCAACTAACCCATCACTCGTCTCATGCTGATTTCAACCTCCTATAGATCTTTTTCCTCGGGATTTAGATTTCTGTGTACTCCCCACTCTTCATAGCAGGTGCTCTAAAACTGCTGCAATGCAAGTGAGTTGCAATTTGGAAAGTTGACTCTCCTCTGTTCAGTAGAATCAAGACCTAATGTCAATGCACTTCTGGAACTTCAGTAACGACAAAACAGAAGGGTTTTTTTCCAAATTAATTGCTGAGTTTTATGAAGAGGTTTCATTGCTCTTCAGGAAGTATTAAAACTAAAATACAAAGAACTTGGCCTGGACCTAAACTCACAGAGAAGGCCCATGAATGCTTCAATAGACCTCTCAAAGCTTAAAACTTACCATTAAGGTGAGAAAGGTAGTCGATATATGCCAGTACGTATTCTGGAATGTCCCCATATTTTTTCAGCCCTAGCTCAAAAATCTTAAAGGCCACAGACTTATCCTGCAAACATTAAAACAAAAAAATGTTATTAGCTTCAGTGAGCTACGCGCCCTCCTGACACTTTAATATCAATCTAAGCATATATGATTACCTTACTACAATAATACTCCATTAAAGCTGCTGTAACATAGACGTGATGGCGGGTCCGGGCATCCTCTCTTGCTTTCTTAAATATCATTCTTCCAGATTTTATGCCTTCTGCTCGCCTTGCAAATTTCATATATTGGATATAAACCTAAGGTGTGTATTAATATTTATATAGTATCAGCGCTAACAAAGAATACCAGGATATAATAAAGTTTTTGACTATAACTGAAATAATCTTTACTCACAAAATACAGCTAATAAGTCATAATAGAAACAAGAATGTGTTGTGCCTCTATGTTGTTTTGGTATAAATACTGAGGGGAAGTTTTTTATATGCTTTTTTTTAAAAAATGGAATATACCTAGGACTGATCCTCTGAAATGACAATAGTTAATACACAGATTTTTCAAAGAAGGGGAGATAAGTAGACGAATGTAATTTACATAAGCTGGTGCCTTCAGAGAACTAGAGGCTTATTGTAAAAATGGTAACTTTCTAATAAAGTTAAGACGTCCGTAAGGCTAAAGAACAGTCAAAAGGCTTGGTGAAGCATTTTACTGTACATTATACAATCCAAGATACAAATCATCCTGTCTGCAAATATTTATACCTGATCAAGGAAATAGTGAATGTGCTATTTAATTCAGTGGCCAATTTGTGATTTGCATTTTTTTTGGATTTAACTTTCCTCCACTCTGAATTAGATCACAAATAACAGCATTCCTCAAATAGGAGGAACTGGTATGTGGTTTCTCAGAAAATGTGTATTTGGGAAGCATTATGATCAGTGTTTAATGAATAGAGCGTGTCAGTAAATGGATACCTTTCCCCTGACACTGACCTGTTGTTTAATTTTAGACCTCAGACCTTCTTTTTCCTTCTCCTGCTTTGTTGTGTCTATTGATAAACTAAATAACTTTCTGAGGGCAGGTTACTTTCTCACAGCATTTGTTCAGTACTAGCACAGCTGGCACTACAATGTTGTTTACTATATAAGTTAAGCAGATGTACAGCAATACTCTCTGATACTTATATGGTGCATTACAAATTTATTTGCAAACTACATGTACACAGTACAGTGTATTTCTATGTAGAGAGAACGCTGGCCAAAGGCAACGTGCTTTTAATCAGTTAAGGGGAGGCAAAGTGAAATTTTAGTTGAGCCAACAAAACATACACCAATTCTTATGAGCTGCATCATGAAATCTTCAATATCTTATATCTTCATTGCTTGTTTTAAGAGATTCTCCAAAAGAGACAGAGGAGAAAAGTGCACATGGCTTAGTGTATCTAAGTGGATTAAAGGCTATAATTAACAACCTTGCTGAAAATTTAATTTAATTCTGTCATCTCAGTACTCCACCAGCTCAATCATCCTTGCAGCCCAATGAACTCCTGTAAGTACTTCCCCATTCTTTGAGTGTACGCAGGTGACTACCCATGCAAACGTGGAAAAATTCAATACTAAGGATCATCTTACCAGAGTGGGATCAATGTCTTCAATAGCCAGGAGTCGATTATATATGCTGTGTACTTTCTCATACTTCATTCGACTCTAAGTAAATAAAAAGGAAAGACAGACTGCTTAGTAATAGTATTACAAATCACCTGTGAGAATGCAAAAATCTATCTGAAGAAAAAAATAAAATTTTTGTTTCCTTTTTTCCCCCAATTGAACACTATGTACGTCAGTCCCTTTACTCAGATGCTTTTTTTTTGCCTTGTGCAGTCATTTCTTTACTTCCCACATTAATATCCCACTAGTGCTTATGTACATGTTTTTCAAGAATCTCTGAAGTCTTTTTCTAATTTAGTAATACTGCAGCAGAACTGCCATGGTAGGTGTTTGGAATAAGACGACTGTTTCCTTTACCTCCGTCTAAAAGTAACGTGCAGACAGCTAGGAAAACCACCTTCTTCACTCTCCAACCTATGCATTTCAAATAATCCATTCTGTTCCCTGTCAGCTGCAGCCCTCCAAGTCGTATTGTGCAACCTTAAAAAATGTAAATCGCCAGTACGCTTAGGATACTGAAAGCCAAGGAAGGCTTTTTCTTTTAACGGCAAAGGGGGTTTTTTTGCTGTTGTACTCAGGATCTTCCTGCAAAGATTCTTGCATGTTATGATAAGTGGGCAAAATATATCCTGCAGAGGAATCCATAGTCCTCATCTGATCAGTGGGAAACGGCCTTTATTCCTGATGGTTCATGTGCAAAACCAACCATTGTCAGGGCATTGCTCGCTACGGAGGCTGTGCAATGTGGTGGCAGCCTGGGTAAAGAGATTTCTCGAGAAAGCTGCAGTATCAGGTGCCTCCCATCTTCCCTCACAGCCATGCAAATACAAACATTAAACCCCCAAGAATTATATAAGAAAGGTGTTCTTTATCCCCATTTTAAAAGTGAAGAAGCTGATGCTCTGGTAAATGTAAATCTATCAGTCTTTCAACTTCACAGTAATTTGAAAAATATAGTCAACATTTAAGTGGAAAGTCAGTAGATTTTAAAAAATTTTGTAACTCATACTATGGGCTTTTCCCCTCCATTTTCTCACTCAGTCTCAGAAACACTGAATGAGGTTAAGGCTAGAAGAATCAGTAAACTAATTCTATAGAATTCTGTGTATTCAGCATGTTTCAAATAAATGACATTATTGATCAGAGATGTCTTTGAGTTTTGATGTCGGTACATCACTATTTTTGCTCACCTCTTCATAATCTGCATATGCAAAATAAAGAAGCATATTCTTCTTTAATAAAGTGCTGATCGCTCTTTCATAAATATTAGCAGCCTCATCACTGAAAAGTTTAGCATTGTTCATGTCCTGTTATAAAATAAGTATGATAATACAATTGTTCAGCATCTGTGACAATGAAGGCCAATCTATGGAATATCTTCTGTGTGTGAAAAGTCCCAGTGAACTTCCATGCAGTACTCCAATAAAGAGATAATCATCTCCCCAGTACTTAAGGAATTACAAAATCAGGCCAAACCCCCACCCCAGACCTAAAACTGGCCAACACTGAAAAAGTTTTTTGTAATTGTTATCTCAAATGCAAACATTTTTATTTCTTAAAATAGCCCCAATTTAAAAATTCTGAACATGACACAACTTACGGTGCTAAATATTTTTCACACCCCCCTCCTTGGTTCTTAAGTATTTGAGGAAAAATGAACAGTACACCATGTCAACGCAATGAAATAAGAAAGAAAACCAATGGCAATCTGCTTACCCCTTTTTCAGCTAGCAGCTTACTGGATTGCTCGAGGTACTGTGCAGCTTCATACCAGATATCTGGGTGATGTCCCAGAACCAAAAGGCATTGCTCATAGGCAAACATAACTGGGGAAAAAAGGTAAGAAATACTCCTTGTATATTATCGCAGAAATGGTACCATCTTGCACAATGGAAGTATGAAATACAAACCCCAGCAAATAAATCAGACAATATTAACACTAATTGGCTTTGAATACAATGATCACAACTGCAGTTCTTTTATATTGCCAGGGACTTTATGAATCATAACCAGCAGCTAAAACCTGCCTCCACAGAGGAAGAAGCAGAACTCATTCAAGAACATCAGCCATAAAATCAGGCTGTGATCCACCGTTGCCTGACCTCCAATGAAAGTTCGGTGGCACACGACTGTAGCACCGACTGTCCCCCAAAATCCATGTATTACTTTCAGCTTGGCTTGAGCAAAAACTAAAGAGTAGTTTAAAAGAAACACCCACACAATTGAAGAAACTTGATCAACTTCTGCTCCAGCATGACCCCTGAACGCTAAATCACATCATTACTTACGCTGGAGGTCATTAATGGAGCTAAGAAATACAATTCTACATGTCCTAGCACAATACCTAGTTACCTCTTTTTGTTATAAGAGTTTGATCTTCTGTACGCAGAGGATTGCTCTTTTCCCACTGGATGTATTTCTTCCACATGTCTACCTGCTGAGCCTCTTGTGGGGTATTTTGTGGGGGGACAGAGGGAGCATTGCGGTCCAGACCTTTCATCACTGTCTCATATTCCTGAAAGAGAAGCAATGTTTTGAACAGCAGATTTAAGTACATTAAACACTTACTTTAGGTTATGCTTTATAAAACTGATACAAATATTTTAGCATACCAACCTTATTAGGCTCACACACAGTTTTATTTGAAAATAAGAACCAAGTTTAATGCTAGTCTGTAGAATTAAATAGAACAAAGAAAAGTCAACAGAAGGCTGTACCTTTGCTACACGTCGTGCATTCATATAATCTCTACTCCTGTCTTCAATCATCTTCTTAGCTAAGTGAATATTGATGCCCTGCAGAACGGTGAAAACAGGAATTGGGAATGTGCAATTTCACTTTGGAAATACTGAATCTCATTTCATACAGAAAAGAGCTTGAAAGGGGATGCAAAAGTGAGCAAAAAGGACAAAGTTATTTTAAAATACTGATCTCAAAAGGTACTGCATTTCTCCTAATAAATATATGGGCAAGAACTTATTTATCAGAGAATAAACTCACTACTAAAAATCAACTGACCTGAAGCACCTCAGTATATTTTTCATCACTTACAGCTTTCAAAAATACAATGAACTTTACATAAACGTGCTGGGGGAGAAAGTGGAAAGAATGTATGTGATGTACATTTTTCCTTTTAAACCCTGGTCAGTGGCTAGTCAGGGTCACAGCTCCCTGCCTTGCTGCTGCCTGCTGTTCACCAGGTGAAGACTGAGACAGCGTACGAGCAATTCAGTTTTCTTGGACAAGTAATAACTGAGATTGACCTCAAAGCTCTGCCTTCTCCTCTGTTCCTGAAGGAACTGACAGCTTTTAGAAGAGGTTACGTTCAACACACACCCTGCCATACACCTACCTTTGTCAGCTGAGAGACTTGAGACCTGTCACCGCAGAGCGCGACACCCCTCCCGGCGGGCCCTGCCGTGCTGCTGAGCAGGAGCCGCAGGGATTTGGGGAGGCAGGCCCCCAGCACTACCCACATCTCAACATCAGCAACACAGGCCTGGTCACGGGGTCCCGGGCATGAACGAAATCTCGAAGCACCGCTCTTATGGCAGGACAAGCAACCGCCCTTTTGTTCACGCCTGTGTCAGGGTGGATTTTGCTGGCGTGGCTTGCCAGGACTTTGAGGAAGGTGAGCACAGCTTTCAGTCCTATTCCAAACAGGTACCCGAGCCGGGTAGCGACTCCTTACGGAGGCAAGGCACCCTCTGGCCTCTCGCAGAGTGCTGTCTGGAATAGCTTCCTGGGCCAGTCAGCGTACAAAACCAGCGATGCCCCATTTAAGGCAGGACTGGGCTGAGGATGCAGCAATGTTCTCCCAGGATGCATCCCAGCCTCGCGAGGTGCAGCCGTGCGGCTTTGTGAGCCAAAGATTGTCACTTCCCTGTCTCACTAGGGCTGTCACCACTTTTGACCATTTGTTTAAAGATACTAGTGACTGACAGGCTGATATTGCTACCTGGTGGCTACCAACCGAGCTAAAGGGAAGCTTGAGAGTATTTTAATTGCAGCAAATAGCCAGCAACCTTTCGTACCGAGACCTGCACACGATCTCTGTGCTGTTGGGCTACTGATGTGAGGAATGACTTCCCCCTCAAAGAGCCTTCTGGTGAGGAGCATTTCCTTCCCTGTGCCAGGACACCTGTGCGCAGCAGCCCTCTCCCTCGAGGCCAGCCTAGCCAGAACAGGACGTGCAGAAACCCGTGTCCGAGCAGAGCGCCGGCCCTCGGCTTCCAGCAACTCTGAACAGCCCCAGGTACTGGTTTGTGTTGCAGGTGTCAGCCAGAGCTGCCTCAACTAGAAGAAGATACAGAACGAACGTAGGACAGGTTTCAGCTATCGTTTTGACAGTCTCCCTACGTATTAGTGAAAGTAGTAGGAACCAGCAGCGACAGCCTTCATTTGCTAGGTGGGAGGGGAAGAGGAGGTTTACAGGGAAGTTGTACCGGGGATTTTCCTACACGGGAGAAGGCATGTTGCCGAGTATCTTCCCTGGCGGTCAGCAGGCTATCTGGGGTATCCCTGAATCCCGACGGGGTGATGAGCTGTTACAGCACACGCTCGTGGCTGTGGATGCCAGGAGGGACTCCCTCTGGTTAAGCACAGTGGCTCTGTTAGTGTCAGGTCACCAGTCCTACAACTTGCATAATTGGCAACAAGGAAAGAGAAATTGTCCCTTCTTTCCTGCTCAGCGCACAGCTGACCCGCAGCATGCCGGCATCTGCAACTCTGGGCGCAACATGCAGGATAAGGGCGAGTGCTGTGTGAGCATCCCTGCTCGACGGTGCTGAGCACGATGGCACCCACCCTCAGTTCTGCAATCTCAGCTCTGCTGATGGGGACAGGTTAACAAGCCATTACCAAACGTGTTTACAAATACACTATAAAGGTGCAGCTACAAATTAGCGTGCACGGTCAATGAGCTGAGGTTACACTTGCTGAAGACAGTATGGCAGCAGACTTACCTGAATTGATGCTGTGATGGCTTCAGGTGAAGGATGGTGAGGAACATTTTATATGTACTTGAGACCATATAACTTAATACCGTGAAGGAAGTCGAAACCATCATAGCTGAATGCCATTTTACCCTGTTCAACCATAACTGAAAGGAGAGGAGCGCCTCCTTGGGGAAGCAAGCCCTCATTGCCAGCTGATCTGCTCTAGCTGCCATTAAATATATTCTGTGTCATTGATACCAGTGATTTCTAATTCAACAGCAATTCTACTGGGCCAACTGGGAAATGGGACAGTTAAATGTATCCTATAGAAAGTCTTTAAAATAAAAAATAATTATCATTCAGGTACCTCTACAGTTTTGCCACAGGTCTTGGGACATACTGCACGTACAAAACGTGTTTATACTGCCGGTCATCTCTTTTACACATAATTATTTAGTGGATACACTTTGGGCACCATACTTAATTATACAATTTTTTTTTTAAGTGTCACAAAAAAATTTCATGTTCTTGATTACCTCTTCGTATTTGTTATAATCTCTCCAGAGCTGTTCTATGTTTATCATTGGATTCACGCAACCACGCTGGTAAACCCTACGGACAGCTGTTATCCTCTGGTTTTCTGCATAAGATCCTACTGCTTCTCTAAATAGCGGGGAGAGAGATTAATGTCAGCTATTACAGATCATAACTGGTATGAACATCAACATTACATTAACTGAGCTTAAAAAAATTCTTTTAAGGTACTTACACGCCCTTCAAAAAATTGATGTAATCCACCCAGATCTATGTGAGAAAAAATATTACATATAATGAAACCAATGTTTAGTTGTACTTCTTATAAAGTAAGAAATAAAATGGCTTTTGATAAAAAAACATACCTGGTATGACATGATTTCCATGCCAATCTTATCCAGAGCAAAATCATATGCCTGAGCCATTTTTTCTCTGAGGAAAAAAACAAACCACAAAGACCATAGAGCAAGTCTTTAGTATTTAAAAAATTCTTTATTTAAGAGTATTCTTTTGTGCAGCAAATTCTAAACAAACACTGAGGTATGAAAAGTTTCATTCAACAGCTGAGAGTAAAAACTGGCATTCAGATAGCTTTAAATTCTGCATTTAGGGTTTTGTTTGGTTTTTGTTTTTTTTTTTTTTAGAAAAGTATTTATATCTATTGGTGGCAATCTAGCACACTAACAGTTCCTGAGATTCCCCCTCCTTAAGTAAGTGGAAATACACGTGTACTATGTGCACTGGAAGTTGAGAAGATAGAAGACAACTGCTCTCTACATCTCCTTAGCTGACAGATCTACTCGTGATTTCTTTTCCTCCCACAGAATTCCTCAAACCTTGCTGTAATTCTCCAGGAACACCAAAAAGCTGGGGCAATTAGGAGTAGCCCCCCTGTGTGGAAACTGGCCAAAATCTTGCACATGATTTTCATCCCCCCAAATTCAAAGTATTTTTCCCCAAATTTAAAATGTTCACAGAATATTTCCTTGGTCAAGTTTCAATGAAAACAGCTTTTTCTCTCTCCCACTTTTCTCCCAGTTTCCTTTACTCAAACATCTTTCAGTACCTTACTGCCTCCTTGACCATATTAGCAGGAAAAACAGAGGAAAGTCAAATTAGATAAAAAGATAGGGGCAGCGCTGGTACTTTTAAAAATTGTTTCAAAACAGTCTTGTAAAAATAAATTTTTTAAAAATCTGCTTTTTTCCTGTTAATGCATTAGTTATCTTACCAGTTATAATACAAAGAAATTATGGTGGGCTGGGAAAGAAACAGTTTATAGATGCTGAAAGGTACTGATATTTTTTGAAACCTCAAGCAGGAAGAAAAAGCATTAAACTCAGTCTGCAGGATTTTAAACAAGCAAAACGTAGTAAATGAAAAGGGATGAGATTAATGCATCCCAAAATTATGACACCCTGATTTTTATGCCTTCCGAAACTTTCTCTAGTTACTGAACTATTTACTATTGCTCATCAAATATAGTACCTCAGCTAGAATCAATGCTGACTTTTGTGGAGACTTTAAACAGGGCACTAAGGGGGAGGACAGCAAAAGGTCCCGACTGAGGAATAAGCGTGTTTCAGTCTGGCTCAAGCACCAACCTCATCTGCAGGGAACCGGCATGGATACCCCAGCTACTCTCCTGCTCTTGTCCCACCTCGTTACATGGATCCAGACTAAGGAAGCAATTTTACTCAGCAAGCTCAATTAAAGAAACTTTAAAGAAAATGTTTTCTAAATGCAGATTATATATTATCCCTCCGGCACTCTACCAGAAGATCCCCAGGCAGGTTTGCCACCCACGTTCCTCCCCACCCCCTGGTCAAAAAACAAGAAGAGATTCACCATAAAACTAGAATAATTCAGATCAAGTCTGTTAACTTACTTGTAACTAGGTAGCTTCCCCTTGGTTTCTCGAACATAGGAAAGGTAACATTTCCATAAATCAATGTGTAAAACCTTCATAAGGCATCGCTGAAATAACTGTTTAATACATCAAGAAGACGAGATCAAGATTCCAGATATAGAAATTAGGTTTCTACTTTTAAAGCTATACAGTATGAATTAAAATAATCTTTGTAATTATGATTGAGATTTGTAAGAAAGAGTAAGTTAAACTACTGTTCCTTTTGACCAAAGCATCTCTGTGCTATGCAAAGGAACTGGAGCAAATTAAGCAGAGAAATTCCTCTGCGCACTTCACTGATTACAGCTTGGTAGCAACAGCAAACCGACTTCAGTGATATTTCTTATCTGTGGTTTTGAATAGCGCATTCAATGACAGCTACACTTCTTTTCAATCTGCTTTAGCCTCATCACAAGATACTTGTTCTTGCTATAAAGATATATTACATATATTGATAGGACTCACCTTTTCCACTTTGTCATAATTTTTTGCTTTAATCTATAGGGAAGCAGAAAAAAACAAATCACTTAAGAAACTATTTTAGAATAGAAGGAATATATTCTTCAAACAGTACTATATAGCATTCCAGTTTGTACTTTGGCTGCCTAAACTAATAACATTGTAACACCATATAATGTTGCAAAAATATAATTAAACATATACAAATCATGTACTCTGCTTAGCTTTTTCAAAATTATTGTTGGTTTTTTGGTTTGTTTTTGTTTTTTTTTTTCACTTCCACTAGGGCCAAAATTTAGGTATCAGTAGGTAAAGTTGCTTTCCTGTATTCTGGTTTGGACACCCAGACTTAGCCTGTTAAGTACTCTGTTGCCTTAAGTGCATATATTGACTTAGGTACCAAAGCCTCTAATCAGGATTTTGTAAATAAAGGGTAAAACACCATATTTATAAAACTAATAGGCTAATAAATGTATTATATTTGAATATTTATTTCTCAAAGTACACTTTGCTATAATATGCTGATGCTGAACAAGGGAATACTAAACCATGGAGAACCTGTTTTTCGACAGGTGCCCCCAGTCCTGGTGCTCCCTTCCAGGAGGGACCAAACCACGCTCACACCTCGGCACTCGTTTCATTCGGACAGCAGGCACTCCGCAAGGGTAGAGGGTGGAACCTAGTCTTGAAGTAACAGGCTGCCTTTCAGACAGGACACAGAAAAGCGCGAGGCAGATGTAGAGGGCAGACTGGCACCCTTCATTTATTTATTAGCTCCAGTTACATTAGCATCCTAGGCAATCTGTAGAAACAAGGAAAATCTACAACGCCTGTATAAGATGCTTATCCGCGTTGAAATAAAGAGCCTTTAACGAAATAAGGATTTGTTACGCTGTATTATATTTTTTAAAGCATCAAAACTCCCTTTTAAATCTCATTGCTCTTTGTTTATTTAGGAGATTCACAGCTTTTTTTCTTGGTGTGAAACAGAAGAGCCACAGAAACAGCTCTGAAAGCCTTTCCTTTTCCCCAAGGAGCACGGCGGTAGGCAGTAAACAGCACCCTTTTGCACCACGTATTAATTACATAATTTTTATATCATTCTCATTCTAAAGCACGAGAGAATTTTTAATGGAAGCGTTAGGAAACACAGTCTCATCTGCAGGAGGCCTAAAATAAATAGTAAGTCCTGTACCGCACTGTGCACTGCCTATCCTGCCTGCTGTTTCCCCAGTTTCCACACCCCTGCAGCACCCCGGCCTCCCAGACCCCTAAACACAGGGGTCCCATAGAGTATCCCCAGATCTCTCACTCCTGAAAAAGATTATTAAAAACGAGGGAATTCAAACAAGTTTTGCAGAAAAACTTTAATGGCACACATGGCAGACCAGACCCTTGTGCCCGTACCGCTTTCAAACTGGAGCACTATCCTGCCCTGGTTGAAATGATTTCAAAAAATGTGGGTTTGCAGGAAGTTAAGCCTAATGACATCTTGCACGCACGATTTTCACAAAGTCTTTCTGCAAACTATTCAGTTAAAAGACAGCTGATCAGAGAAATGATTGATTACAGAAATACCATTGCTCTGAAATAACACTTAAGTAGAAGAACCAGGAGGTGGCATGTCCGAGGGGAACACCTCTAACCTCTGCCAAAGACACACGGACCCAACACACCCTCAGGGACGGGAACGTATCCTACTGCCACTTTCTCACAGCTATTTGTGAGAAGAGCACAATCTTTCAACCTTTAAAAAGCACTTATCATAATTGTAGGGTTGTTTAGACAGAAGTCTTCTGTGGACACAAATTAAGGAGTCTGATCCTGCTCTATTTCTAGTTGAAGGAAAATAACTTCTTATATTTTAAATTTCTCCTCCACCGTGAAGTCCAAAAAAAGACATCTCCCATTTTTACTTCATCCTTTTTTGACAGTCAGTAACTTTTCAGGATTCTCAACACCTTTTAGAATATGACAAAAAGGATTCAAATCTCACTAAAGAGCAAGAGCTCTCAGTCAACGCCTCCCACCCCCTGCAAACTCCTTTTATCCTTGGTCACCAAGTGGAAAAGAACAAATGAATCTTGGTTTGTGTGTCTAGCACAGAGCACAGCTGCCTGTACTTTTCTTCCCTTGTACTTACTCAAGTAAAATCTTCAATAAGATGAGCAGAAACTTTTTTTTTTTAAACAAAAGAATGAATCCCCAAGAGACAGTATAAATCCTTTTTTGTGAAAATTAAATAAAATTAATCCATGGCTTTCCCACTGACAAAAGGCATCACCTTGTAGTTATTCAACAAGATCAAAAAAAATTTTTAAAAGCTCAGAATGAAAAGCTATAAGCAGGCAGGGCCAAAATTAGTGCGCCTTCCAGGTTTAGCCACGTAAAAAAATGTTTTACACATCTGCCCTGAGTTACTACGCCGAAGACAATTCCTAGACGTAGCTGATAGGGCTGTGAATGCTGTCTGCCTGCTTAGCACATCTCCCTGCCCCTTGTCACCCAAAAGCCCAATGACAACTATTGCTCAGCATAAGTGACCCAGAGTGACCTCAGTAATTGTATACGGCATCAAGTAAGTGCGCAGTAATCCCACTTCATTGTTTACTAGAGCAGTTTTATTAGCGCCTGGCACCACTGTCAACATCAAAAATACGGCGGGCAAGGAGTACTTATCAATAGACTACGTGCACTTCCAATAACCAACGATCTTGAAAAGTAAAATATTTTGCTAAGAAAAATATATTCTTTATTTGCATGTGTTATGACTCAAAGAACACAGTATTTTCTACACGAATTATCAGATATATGAAAAGCTGCTGTCCACATCTGGACTTCAAGTCAGTGTTATGTATTTGTTAAATCCACACAAGCGGTTTGATATTGATATCTGAAAATTCAGAAATCTTGGTACCGATGAAAGCTAGGAGGTTGGAGATTGGCAGAATTTGTTAAAAATAAAGGAAAAGAAAAAGCAGTATTGGCCAATGCTTGCTGGGTCTCTCTCACTGGAGAGTTTTTACCAAGCCCCCAGAGCCAGAGGGAAGAGCAGCTATTTCTCCTGCAGGAATTTGTTTGCGTTTCTTGGCCCACCCTCCCAAGCAAACATCCTGGCAGCCCTGGCACAGAGGAAAGCCCATCACCAGAGAAGGCACACGCTGCCTCCAGGACCCACCGTCACTCATTTCTGTTACATTTCTTGTTTTTCCTATTACAGACACAGGAACGGGCAGTGATGAGACATGGACAAGCATTAAAGGATTGATATTAATACTGTATTTTTGTCCTTAAAGACAAACACAGCAAAGTGTACTATAGATCTTTACAATAGATTACCCTTCAAATTCTAATGCTGCCTGTATTCCTATTCCGATTGCTTTAATTCAAGAGGTAGGTGTTACCCTCATGGATGCTAACATATAAGAGTGTCTCCACCACCTACAGAATGAGCTTAGGCATATTGCCATTCTAAGGTAAAACTGGTATATGTGAGTATCTCCCCTCCATCCTTGAAGACTATACAAAGACCCCTTAGTCTGACCAGCTATACTTGGACACTCCTGTAGTAAAACACATCTGCCCTTGCCTTCCTCTGCCTGTGACAATGAGAAATTCCACCTGTTTTGCGGAAGGAGTAACTTTAAATTTGATGCTCCCAATAGGAAATGTCACTACTGTATCAGCTTTGTAATCAGATGAATTCATAGTAACAGGGTCAAATTTCTTCCCAGAATACACAACATGCTTCCCAATAACGAGCTTCACAAACATTCAAGGGCAAAATTTAATCCATAAGTTACACTACACTTCACCCTTTTTAAGAGACCTATTAAAACACATATGTATCATTTATGATTATGCAAAGCAAGTAATTCTATTAATCTAAAGACTTAAGGCTACTTGTAGCTATCTGGAAACATACAACACAAACTTAAAAATTTTGCTTGTTTTATTTTAACCTTTTCAGTGTTTCTTGGTTTCGACCAAGCTCCTAAGGAAGCAAGGTCAGCACATAGTACGTAAGGATCTGCAGGACTTTTTCTGCCATGACTCTCATTTCCTTCTTCTGGCCCTCACCTATTTCCATATCCCAACTCCCTCTCCTTTTTCAATGGTTATCTTCCACGGAAAATAATTCATTTTCTCAAGCATAAAATCCAACGTTCCCTTTTCTGCTGCCTCCAGCTCTCCCCTTGGTGTGGTAGATTCTCATGCCCTCTCCCCTCCCCACCACCCCTGCACGGCTCTCCAACATCTTTTTGGAAGAGGGACCTGAAGAGAAACGCCATGCGCCGCTGGCAGACTGCACCAGCTGATGAGGGACAGGCTGGAAGAGGAGGAAAACCACAGCAGCGGCGGTGTTAACTTTCCCAGGATTTAGTTCATAGTGACTGGTATTTTTAGAACTACTATTTCCTAAGATCTGGTTTCATTATAAATACTACGGTGTATGCAACATCTTTAATGTTTTTTTAAAAACACACACACAACATATGTTTCAGAATACAAAATTACAACCAGAGCATGCATGCATTTGGAAGTATTGCTTTTGCTTATTAACTGAAGGGAGCTCACTCTTAAAAGAGCTGCATTCATTCACACAGTTAGATGACCAGGTATTAGGTAATTAAATTACCTACCCACTGTCAAGTCCAGTGGGATGTAACTTGGGTCTTCATTAAGTACAGAACTGTAGGTGTAATAAAACACATCCACGTTTCTCTACCTGTTTCCAAAATACAGGTTAGGGCTGGCTGGAGAGATGTTCACTCTTTACTTGCAGAATAAATACTGCTTGGACCATAGCAGTTCAAACTTCTCAGACTGCCTCAAAGCAATGTAATCTTTGAAAGGATGAAGAGAGTGCAACATGCTAATGCATTCTTCTATCTTTAGCATATTCAGCCTTTTGCTATTTGCTGAAGCTTCCAGTCAGTGACTAATTGCGTGAGCACTTAACACGACAAACTCGTTTTCCTACAGGTCAAATAACAGCAATTACCTTTGCAAATAGCAAACAGCAAACCAAGCTCTGC